GATACACGTTTTCGTTAACTATAAGTATATAACATTACTAGTAATAAAAACTATATTATTTTTTATACATTATACACATTGAAATTTTCGTAATACTCGTATGATGGCGTTATAATACAATAGTGCATTAGCATATAATTCATAAGAATTTTGTCCAATTTTAATATTTAAAATTGTCTTTTTTAATATATTTCATCTTATTATCTTAAAATAAACTATTTACTATTAATTTGAAATTTTTTTGTCTATCTTAAAAAAATCTTTTTATGTTCTATATATATATATATATATATATATATTATATATATTTTGTCAATGAAAAAGCTGTAAATATATAAATACATTAAATATGAAATGATTACTATTTTTAAAAAATGTAATCAATTATATAATATTATATACATATATATACATATATATATTTAATGTACAAAGTTTTTATTTAATACTAAAATAAAGTATATCAAAAATATATATTATTAATGTGTATATATACATACATACGTTATAGTTATTATAAAAAGGATGTTCAAGCCTTCAGAAAATTTAGCTACTTATCTATGATTTGACGTTCATTAGCCAACAATAAAAAATAGTTTTATACTATGTATTTTGTCTTAACATTAAATTTTTTATATTCGCTATGATAATTTTGCGTGTCCCACCATTATACAGCGAAATTTATTCGAAGCAAAGTACTGATATTATTCGATGGCAAGGAAATAAACAGTTTTAAACTGTGCACTTGATGAAATACATTTAATATTAACAGTGTAATCAGAATATTCAAATATATTAAGAAAAAGACAAGGTTTGTGAATTTTATACTTTCATGAATATTTGTCATATTTTACGAAATTTAATGTTTTTTTTTTTATCCAATATCATTGAAATAAAATATTGTAATTTACGTAAAATAAAATTTTTATATAAACATTTTAATTATATATTTATTTATTTTTAACATTTAATATTTATATATAAGAAAAATAAAATTAAAATGAATATTTTACATTAATCAGTTAAATTAATTAAACTACGATAATTTTTTTCCGTTATATTGTAAATTTTTATCTTTATAAATATAATTTGTATATTATTATTATTATTCACATTTTTTAACATTATTATATATTATTTTAGATACATATTGATTTTAAAAAAACAATGGCATTACGTGAATTGGTAGAAGGTGACTGTGGAGGACCTAGCTCTTTAATTCATTTGACATCACATTTTGTACGTGATCATGGATTCAAAGACGAAGGAATACATCATCCTTTTGAACATGTGGAACCTTTTCAAGCTTCAGATTCAGATCAGTTAGTTAAACAATTTTTAGAAGAAAATCCTTCATGTCCTCAAACATTTAGAATGGATAATTTATTACAAGAAATGCGTGAAATTGATCAAAATATTCATCCACCTATAGCAGCACCTGGAGTTGCTCAAGAATTAACCAGTTTAGATACAGCTTGGGCAAATCAATATCTTGAATCAGGACGTCATTTTAATGTAATTCTTATTTTATTAGTATAATTTGTATATTAGCAGTTTTTTTTTAAAATCAAATTTTTATTATTTTCATTTAATATAGGAACACCATGCTGATGATATTTGGCATCCTGAAGAAGAAAATAATTCAAATATTTTAAATAATCAAAAACATGAATTTGGATTAGGACCAAAATGGGCTGAAGAATATATAGAACATAGTATAGATGCTATACAAAGCAATATAAATATAGAAAATCCAATAGAAATAATAGAAAACAATGATAATCCCAATTTTGAATATTCAAAATTTATGAAATTTATGAAACAAGAAGGAGAAATCCCTATTGAAAACAATCAAGATTCACTGCCAAATTTTCATGATACAAGTAAAAAATGGATTGAACAATATAAAAAAGATAATCAAAAATCTGAAGATACAATTTCTTCTGTCAATCAAGAAAATGAAATGATAAATAAAGTAGAAGAAGAATTAGCTGTTGCTGGTAATTGGATAAATGAATTTCAAAAAGAAAATGTCTCTACAGGTTTGTAAATATTTTAATATTAATTTGATATCTATCAATTCCTAATCATATTAATAATCATTTTTATAAAAAATAAATTTTAGTGATAGAAAATTATGAATCTACATTTTTGAAACTTCAAAATGAATGGGATAAAATTTCATCTGAAGAATTATCTTCCAAGCATCCTTGGCTTTCAGAATATGATAAGTTTTATGATCCATTTAAAGAATATGAATTTCATGAAGAAAATCCTATGAAAAATTTATCTAATGCATTAAAAGAAGGTAAAAAAAGATTGGAAGCTGGAGATTTACCAAGTGCCATACTTTGCTTTGAAGCAGCAGTACAACAAGATGAAAATAATTCAGAAGCTTGGCTACTTCTTGGTAAAACCCTAGCTGAAAATGAACAAGATCCATTAGCTATTTCTGCTTTAAAACGTTGTTTAAATTTGGATCCTTCAAATGGTTCTGCTCTTATGGCACTTGCAGTTTCATATACAAATGAATCTTATCAAAATCAAGCATGTATGACTCTTAAAGAATGGTTATTAAAAAATGAAAAATACAAACATCTTTCAATACAAAAGATTAATAATGAACAACACATAAAATCCAATATATCATCTATTTTGTTTGAGTAAGTAATAAATTTAATAATGCATGTAATAAAATATTTTATTAATTTTAATATTCTATTTATTTTTTCTAGAGATGTTCATGAAGAAGTAAAAAATCTTTATATTCAAGCAGCACGAATGAATCCATGGAATGAAATAGATGCAGATGTACAATGTGGATTAGGAGTACTTTTTAATTTATCTAATGAATATGATAAAGCTAGCGATTGTTTTCAAGCGGCGTTGCAAGTGCGTCCTCATGTATGTATTAAATCACTTTTTCTTATAGAAATTAATAATTAAATATATTATCAAAAGTATAATATATTTTTGAAAGGATTCTAGATTATGGAATAGATTAGGTGCAACTTTAGCTAATGGTCAAAAATCAGAAGAAGCTGTAACTGCATATCATCATGCTTTAAAATTATCACCTGGATTCATTAGAGCTCGTTACAATCTCGGAATTTCTTGCATTAATCTTGGTGCATTTAAGTAAGTAAAATTTTGTTTATATTATGAAATTATATATTTTGAAATTATTTATTTCTCTATAGAGAAGCAGGCGAACATCTTATAATTGCTTTAAACCAACAAGCTGCCGGTCGTGGAATTCAAGGCGAAAATTTTCCACCGAAAACAATGTCGAATATTATTTGGTCAACATTAAGACTTGTTATTTCATTAATGCACAAATATCATTTAAATGAAGCTATAGAAAACAGGTAAAACTTAATATATATTTTTTAATAAAATTTTTTAATAAAAATTACTAAATTTTGTTATATAAATAGTATTTTTGATTGTTTCAGAGATCTAACAAGGTTAAATAAGGAATTTGAAATTGTATAAAAATTTGTTGAACTCGTTTGTTAAAAAGTATAAATCCTTTTTAACTTAGTATTTAAGATATAAAATAAAATGATTAAAAATATTTTTCGTAGTTCAAAAATGTATATATAAACAAAAATTAAGATTATTATTAATGCTATTATATAATTTCTTTGTTATGATATGGGATTGACTTAAACATATTAAAAAAATTGTTTTGAAAAATCTTATTTAATAAATATCAAAACATTATTTTGTCATATCTTTTTTAATAGGTAAATAAGTTTTTACTATTTTATTTTATATAAATTAAAAGAGATATTATATATTATTAAATCATATATATTAATATGATAAAATTATTATACAATTAATAAATAAAAATTAAAAATAATTGAATCCTCAAGAAAAATATTAAATAATTCTAATTAATAATAATTCTAAAGATCAAATTATTTCTTTCTTTCTTCTTAAATAAATAAATATTTATAAAAATACAATTACAATAATTTAAGAACAATTAAATAAAAAGTCTGTTATGAGTTAAAGTTATATATTATTTTTCTATTATAATTTATAAATATCATAGATCACTTCTAACATAATTACATTAGATTTACATATATATAACAAAGAGAAATTAGTCCTAAAGGCACATCAAAGTTACATATTTTGTAACATTTAAAAAGTGATGAAAATACATTATAGGATCAACAAATATAATAAAAAGTATCTTAATATTTAATTTCTTAAACACATGCCACCCCGCCCTTAGCGGTTAAAATATAAACAATTTTTAACAAATTCTTATAAATATTCAAACAGTAGTCAAAAATACAATGATCACTACTACAAAATTTCTTACTTCAATATATAAAGCAATCTATCATATTAAATATTATATATAACACTGTAAAATTTTAATATCTATATGCTTGATTTTGTATAAACTTTTCATAATTATGATTCAACTATTTCATTAGCTAAGGGAAAGATAACATACGTCCAGATATAATATAATATATCTATATAGAACATTTCAACAATTAATAATAGTGAATTAGTTTTATCTATAATATTTGTTTTTAGTTTTTGATAATTTGTTAATACAACTTTATCCATGAAAAATCTTGCATAATTAAAATTGTAATAAAAATCGAATATTTTAATTAATTGGATTAAGAAAAATATATAATTTCAAAAATATTATATAAATAATAAAAATATATTATAAAATAAATTATATATCTAATAATGATTTGTAAAATTATAATATAATGAATGAAAAAATACATATGTAAGTAAAAAAGTGAATCATTAATAATCAAAAAGTGATCAAAAATAAAAAATTATTAAAATTATTTCTAAAAGTCAGGTAATTTTAAGCAAAAATTTATAATCCATGAAAGTTATCACATGAAAAACTATTGTTTTCAAATTCGATTAAGTACAATTCATTTCAAATCTATTTTCTCTATATATAATTTTTATACAACATAATTTCTTGTTGCATTTAAATTTTTCAATTTTTTTTTTTATAAATAAATTAAATTGGACCTATCGTCGTCGAAATTGATCAGTTAAAATTATCGCTCATAATTTTAATGTCGATAAAAGTTGTTGCCCAGTTTCCATTATTAACGATTTAACATGTTCGGCGTGCATAATTTGATTACACATTTCATTGCATTTTTGAAATGTTATTATATCATCTTTTGGAAGAACACGATGTAGACTTTTTAAAGATAATGTATGTGGTAGATAATTTAAAATTGCTAAAATGAGGAGTCTATTATAATACAACTAATATAAAGTATACTTTAATATAAATATATCAAAAATGTTTACCTTTCATAATTTGCGTATATAAACATTGCAATTCTTGTCGAGTGTTTGTTGTAGAAATTTTATTTTGTGTTAGTTCAATTAAATACTTCCATTCAGAATCTTTAGTATACGTATCCTAAAAATTGAAACACAATCTTGTGAAATTCTATTGTAAAAAGAATAAAAAAATATCGTAAAAACAGTAAAGTAAGTACATTGTATCATTCATTTGCTGGAACAATAGTATAACAAAATTTTAAGGAATGCAATATTCAATATTTTCAATTCTCAGAAAAATATTATTATATTAAAATTTTAAATTTAAAAATATATATATATATATGTTTATAAAATTCTACAAGTAAAAGATATAAATACTAAAAATAATTCGTTCTATATCAATAATAAAAGATTGCAAATTTTGAAATATTATATATTGCATATCATATTACAAACGAATAATATACATATGAAAAATATATTTATATTTATTTACCTTCGCATATTGTACAACTGCTTGAGGACAATTTTCCATTAGAAGTGTTGTTGTTTCTTCCGTATTTTGAATACATAACGTTTTTAAAGATAAACTGCCATGAATTTCTTGTGTTTCAAGAAATTGTTTAACTTCATATAAACATTCATTTGGTATAAAATCGCAAGATAATACAGATTGTAATTTAAACAATTCTGTTGGTATAGTTTTTTCAGAATCAGTCTTATCGATATCAACTAAATCTTGTAAATCGCACATATTCAAAACTTTTTGATAATCTTTCGCATATGGTGGCATCCCGTTTAGATAATGAGGTCTAAATTTGACAAATATGAAGTTATCATAATTTTCTTGCATATTTTCTCTATTTTCTATTTTGTATACTTTAGTTTGAGTTAATTTGCCTAAGTATGATCGTACTAATAACTTAAATGCTTCAACAAGAGCAAAATCTGTGCGTATTTGATTTTTATTTATAACAGATGAGTCTATAATCAATTTTGTACTGAAGTAATTATGAAGATATTTTTCAAGAAAAATTTGTAATGTCATTGCTGCATTATGTCCATCCCGTCCTACTCTTGACGGCAAATATTCTAAAAATACTTGTATAATTTGATGAAGAGATAAAATTCCATCGTCTTCTATTAATTGTATTAAAATTTCGGCAAAAGTTAAATTTTTTTGTCGCATTAACATTCCAGCAAAATCCGAAAACGTCGGAATCATTGGACTTCTTTTTTTCATAGCTGTCATATCAAACAAAAGATCCCAATGTTCTAAAACTATTCGTTTGATATATAATGCCGAAACTGGCTCAATTATTTTTTCTGCTTGTTCCTGTTTTTCAGCTTGTATATATAAGAGTGCTAAAGCTAATTTAACTAACTCATCTGTTTCGTATAATAATAAAAGATGGATTAATTTTTCGGTGGTATATTCTCGCAATATAGGACTACTGAAAATCAATTTCAGTAAATCCGATTTTTTTAATTTACATATCATTTCTACAATATTAAATCCTTGAAACAACGCATCAGCTTCTGAACCACTTTTCATTGTAAGAAGAATATCTGTTAAAAAAGTAACGAGTCCCGGAGCATCTTGACTTGATTTTCTAGATAATACTTCTGAGGGTTTTAATCCTGACATTTTGTAATAAGGTATACAAAAATCCCAATCCGATTCATATTCAGAACGAATATAATAGTCTCCAAGCAACGCGCAAGATTGATTATATAAATTTTTTAATTTCAATCCATTTTTATTAGCGATATCGTCAAAATCATTAATATCTAAACAATTGTACACAGCATCTTTAGCTAAACGTATCAAAGCATGAGCCTCCCCTAACAAATGTCGATATGTACTAGGACTGGAAGATTTATGATTTCTTGCTGCATTTAAGATATCATAATATAAATTTTCCAATTTAGGTAAAATTAAAGAATATAAAGTCCAAGAATTTTCAGCTTTGGCTAAGAGAATTAAATAATTTTTGCTATGTAATAGTTTTTGTATTCCTAAAAATGGTCTTAATCCGATTAGACAGACTGGCTCAGAGACATTAGGACATGTTACTCTTAAATTTTCTAAATTATTTGATGTTCTTGCAATATGATGAGATAAACGTAATGTGTAAGATTCAAGACCAGCTTCGGTCAATGCATGCAAAGCAGTATGTTCCAATGCTACTTGATTAACAGGTGCAGTAAATGGATAAGTAGTTAAACAAGTTACATCTGTAGGATTTGAACTAGTAGCAGAAAAGTGATAAAGATATCCTTCTTGCAAAGTGCTTAAAAAGCAACTAACACCTTGCAAATATGTATATTTATCTGATCTAAGAATTGATTTTTTCAAATAAGAATTATTACACTCTTTTCTCATGTATAATGGTTTTAGTAAAGAGCAATTGAATACTTCAGAACTTCCATCAAGTTTATTATTAGCTGCTATTATTTTAAGAGATAACAAATTTTTTATTGTATAATTTTCTGACCATCCTAAATCAGGAGAATTTGTTTTAATTATAATTCTTATATCTGATGGGTTTAATATAAAAGGACTTAAAGTATGTCCAGGTCCTGCTCTTTCTAAACTTATAGATGGCAAATTAATAGTCAAAGGTTGTGAATTTCCATCAATAATTTCTTGATCAATTAATCTTTGTAATTCATCTTTTTCATTATATATTAAGTGATCCAAATTTATAATATTATCATTATTATTAGATTTTATTTTTCTAAAATCTCCTGTCTCTAGTTTGTTCCATATACTTATTTTAGAACTTTTGTGTCTCTTACTTTTAAATTTTGTGCTTATTCCACTAGAATCATTGTTTTCTGATAAAATGAAATAAGGATCTTGATTAGAACTCTTACATTTTGAATTTGCTCCTTGCAATATTATGTTATCATCTTGATTATTCATATTATTGCTATTTTCTGCAAGAGAGGAATCTGTGGATATAGATGTTTTATCAATAGATGAGGAATTTGTGGAAGTTAAAGAACTCAATTGATCAATATCCTCATACATTGAATTAGTCAATCGGAAAACACATAAATTTGTCTTATCCATAATTAATATGAAATCTTCAATAATTTCCATATGTGTAGGAGAAAATGAAAATCCTAAAGACCATGGTCTTGCTTCAAAATCTATAAACTTCATCTTTGATACTTGCTGTGTTTCAATTTTGAATTCATGCAGAATAGCACTATTTCCTGAAGCTACAAGAAGATTACCAGTACTTTGACAGCAAGCAATTAATGTAGGCTGTATGCTTAAAGGTAATTCTATCATTTCTAAACTATTCAATGGTCGATTCAAACTTGGTGTAACACGTCCTGCTATTCTAGCACGCATAGGTTGACTTTGATCTTTTACCATAGCCCAATTAACATAAATTCTAACAAAATTATTAATTGTTTTCCCTGTATGATTATTAATACTTGCATCTCTAGATAATTTTGATTCCAATGTTACAACATAATCTTCTTTGGTACAATGTATCATTTGATTAATCATATCAACTGTTGGAAAAACAGTATGTAATTTAATATCAGACATCATCAAATCCCAAACTTCAATGCAATGAGTTGATAATGCTAAGAGAAGCATTTCACGTCCAGATGCATTTGCTATACAGCTTGCAGTTGGTTCTTCAATTTGAGTGATGTTTTGCCCCAAAAAATTATGTACTGTGATTACACGAACCATATTGATTTTTGTATTAAATATTCTTTAAACATATCAAATTTATGTTTTTAAAAGAAAATTATGGATATTTAGCTAAAAGTATCTTTTACATTCATTTACTTATATATTTACTTATACAAGTAAATTGAACATAAATCTTAATAATTTATTTATTAATTTTAATTTATTAATAATTTGATATTATTTTAAATTTAAATTTGATATAAATATTATATTTTTTTATATTATTACATTGTGAAATTAAATTATATTTAGAAGTTTATATTATAATGTATTTTTTGAAGATTAGCTTGCATTTTTAAATTATCAACATAAAAATTATTTGTAAAATATATAAAACGATAAATTCGTTATTTTTTTCGCAATTTTTTTCGTATTTTTTAGTATAATGAGATATAAAATTAAGCAAATAAGAGAATATAAATCAAATATTATTTTTTTGTTATTTAGTATTTACTTAGATTACACAAATATAAATATTAATGCATTCAATGATGCATGTTTTGACATTCTTTTATAAATTCATCTTTTATAAATTTAACATCTTTATTTTATAGCAAATAATATTAAAAATGATTAATTATGTTGAAATATAAGAAAATCACTTTAATTAGTTATTTATAAAGTTAACGAACACTATCATATTTTATACATGATTTTACATAATCTAAAAACACTATGAATATCACAAAATAGAAGAATGCAAATACAGTTCGTTCGTTTGACAGATCTTTTAATACGCGCATGTACATTAATGGTTAGAACATATCTAGTCGTGCTACTTACGCGCCCTACTAATTTTTCTCCGTTAATACAATACATAATATTTTAAATAATATTTAAAATAATTATGAAATAAAAAATTCCAAAACAAAGAAATACTTCAAGAAATAATTAATGAAATATAAAAATAAATAATATAATTAGAATATCCAATACATATTAATAATCTATTAATAATCATATATATCACTTATATATCACTTATAATTCTATAACAAATTAAATATTAAAATTATATATAATTCATTTTATAATCTTTATTATGTCAAAAATTATACATGCAATTATATTGATCTTAATTATATTGTACAAAAATTTTAAAATGTTAATTCTCTTATTTCATAATCTTATATTAATATGCTACAAAAATGTTATTGTCATAAGATATAAAATATTGTAAAAATATATATTAAATGAACATATAATTCAATTATAATTCAATTATGTATTATTTGTAATAAAATTATGACAATGTTCAGGAAATATTATGATTCTAAATTGATTTCATTGGCACAACATATATAATAGTAAAATGTGAAATACATCCTACAAAATTTTAGTTTCTTATTATAATTATAATTATTTTGTTGAGATAACCTTCTCAATATGACTTTTTAAAGTTTCTAGTTGTTTCAAAGTTTCTGAATCTAATGCAGGAATATGTGACATACGTAATCCATCATTAGGTAATAAGGACATAACATTCCCATCACGCAAGGGTACATTAATGTTAGCAATATCTTCTTGAATAATTGCAGAAACTAATAAAGGACTACCTTGCATACTAAGAACCATTTCCCCTTGTCTTGGACGTCTTAATACATTTAATGGTGTATTAGGTTTTATTTTTGGAGTTACAAGATCAAATTCTTTATTTCCTGGTTTCAAAGTAGCAGGGGTTTTAAATTTATCAACTTTCATAGATTTGATATGTTTATCTTTTGTTGTTTTTTTTATAGTTTCTTGATTTATTTCACTAAGCTTCATTTTACTATTCCTTGAACTACTACGTGTCCTTCTACTAATAGCAGATTCGACTTTAGTAGCTCTTGATGTACGTGTTGTTGTTATTCCCTCGGTTACATATCCATCATCGGACGCGCTAGTAATTCTTTTTCCAGTTTTTTTTCCTTTTACTGTCATCGGAGGTACTCGTAGCGAACGATCATCAACGGATGACGAAATTTCATTACAATTTTCTTTTTCATTTTCATTATCGTAATTAAGTACTTCACTAAGTGTCATTTGCCGTATCTCAGCCGGAAGTCGAGATAAAGTAACGTCAACGAAAGTTTCAATACTTTTTATTGCCATTTTTGATTCTGCTTCCATTTTCGAAATTCGTAAATGTGCTTGTCGCTCAAAATCTTTAATTAATAAGTCACTTTCTTCTAAAAATTCTTCTTGTTGTTTTGGTTTCTGAACATGTTTTGTACGCGGCATTTTTAGTAGCCGTAGAATCTAAAAATATAATTAAATTTTTTTTTTTGCTTTTTATCACGTCTCTTTATTGTCGTTTAAATAAAATTTGTGGATGTAATTATCACAATTTTTTATTTAGTCGACTTACATTGGAATGTTTTCGATTTCGTTTACCGCCGTTAATAGTTTATAATTCGATCAATGATTATAAAGAAATATAGAAAGATAAAATAATGGAAAAATATGTGTACCTTATAAAAAGAGCAACCTAGTGTCATTATTCTGCATTAAATTTAAGTGTTCAAAAATATATTTAAATTAATGTAATCAATTTAATTTAAATTATGTGACATTACAAAATTTTAGATTAGACATTACAATTTTTTATATTATCTTTTTTATTTCATTCTTACAATTATTGAACTATAATATGAAGTATGAAATATATTTTACTAAAATTATATTATTCTATACTGAAATATATTCATAAAATGATATAATTAAAATTATTTTTATTATATATAACAATAATTATTGGATAAGTGACTATCTATATTATTCTGTCTATATTCTGTCCATATTTAGAAAAATTATGGAAATAGGAATTTTAAATGAAAAATAAAAATTTTAATTATAATATTTAGAATTGACAATTAATTTTAAGTAAACTTTTTATATGTATTCTCAATATTAACATTGAAGTAATTTCTTCAAGATTTGACAAATCTTTATCTTTCAAATATTAAAATGGAGAGTATTATTCGTTACGAAAAACCATATTCTGATTATAAACGAACTGAACAACAAGAAATGTTAATAGCAGCCCCATTGGATTTATCATTTAAAAGAGCAACCACAATGAATGGTATGTTACATTATATAAAATTTCTAATTAAAAAAATATTGTTAAAATTATACATTATTTTCTAAATTTAAAGATAACATTAATAAAAATATTTATTTTATTACAAGAGAATTGGCAAATAAACGTCCACAGTCAGTACGAACGGGTAAAATTCCATTGCGAACATCTGCAGATCGTTTCGTAACATGTTCTTTATGGTTAAGCAATAATTTATTGACTTCAATGGACGGATTTGAAAGTCTTGCACAAAAAGTTCTCGATGATCCAGAGCATCTTAGTTGGATCGATCTTTCTTTTAATAAGATAAAAGAAATTGGAGATGATATTATAAAATTTCCGAATATAAAAATATTTTATTTGCATGGAAACAATATTTCGAATATTAATGATATTGTTAAATTGAAAAAGTTACAAACTCTTAGATCTTTAACATTACATGGAAATCCCATTGAAAATCTTCCATATTATAGAGGATATGTTGTTCATACTTTACCACAATTAACAGCATTAGACTTTTCAGCAGTATTATCTACTGAGAGGAAAAAGGCAGCACCAGCTGGATTTTATAAAGTAATATACGGTAATACATGAATATAAAATTTTATTTTCAAGTTTTGTATTAAATACACGCTTTCTTTTAAGTATCATTACTTGTAATATTTTTTCAAGAATGTACCATTTATCTCGAGGTACTTTGACTCAACATTCTTAGAAATAATTTATTTCAAATCTACTGTTATATCATTGTTAAATTAACTCAAGATATGTACCATACAGTAGAAATTATTTGTTCTATTTAAATGTATATTAATTAACAGAGATAAAAAAGGCCCCATATTATATTACAAATTGAATGTGACAGCCCATGTGTTCGCAATAATTTCTTTCTTTTTTGCGATATCTATATGTATAATGATTTTTTGTACATTAAATAATTCAATGTCGTCTGTGTTTACTGCGATGTTTACTTGATTTTTCTACATCTCTATCTCGAGATCGACTACGTGATCTATAACGACTACGAGATGATTTGTGACTGCCAGATCGCCTTCGTTGCGCCTTTTTCGGTTTTCGAGATCGTCCATGACTATGACTGCGAGATCTGCTTCTACTATGTTTTTTTCTCTTGGAATGCTTTGTTCCTTCACCTCTAGATGGTGAAGTACTTGGTGATTTTGAACGCCTATATAGTAATAAAAATGATTTTAGATATTTATATTAAAAATTATATTTTATTATTTCTTTTTTTCTCTTATAATATACCTAGGTGACTTTGTTCTTTCGGGTGCAGCATGAGTACCACTACGACTAATGAATCCACCCCAAGCATTATGATGTTTGGGCAGTGGTGGGCTAGGTGTGTGGCTATCGACATCTCCACTTCTTGCTTTGGTTCTTGCTTCCTGATATTGTCGACGAAGTTCCTCTACACGTTTTTCTAATTGTTCTGGTTTAACACGAGGTCGAAAATAAAGTCGTAATATACGACGACAAACATCTCTAATTGCAGATTCATTAACTTTGAAAAGAGAAAACCAAGCAGGTGAAGTAGGTAAAGGTAATTGAAGTTGTCGTGCTCCCAAATATACACATGCACAAGCAACAGTTTCTGGTTGATATCTTAAGAATACATCGGATCTTAAAGAATCATTCATATAATTCCAACATTGTTGCATCAAAGCATGATTTTTTTCATAGCCCAATACTTGCAAATACATAACAATTATTTTATGAGGATGTTTTACATGAACACAAAAACCTAATTCTTTTAGGACTCTTCTTTCAGATTTAATTACCTGATTCTTTAAAGCTACATAATTTTGATCAAGTATTACTGGTTGTATTGGCCTAAAAAAAAATTTGATAATAAATATTATATATACATATATAATTCTATAATATTAAAAATAAAACATTGTATTTACTTTTGGCTAGAAACTTGTTTAATATGATTAAACACATTAATAACATCTCTAATACGTCTAGGTGCTTCTTCAATTTTACTAGCTAAACAGATACAGCCCATTGCAGTTGTTTCCATATTATGTCTAACTAACGATTTACTATAATAAAATCGTTGAAATATAACTTGTCCTGTGGCCATTGCAACCTAAAGAAATAATAATGGAAGTAAAATTAATTCAGAGGTTATAGAGGTTATAACGTTTACAAACATTTTGTTTACTTGTGAAAAAATCACAAACCTGTGGTAATTTCAATAAAATACCAGCTGTCTGAATTAGTTCACATCCTAATATTCTTAGATCAGTTTCCGTTTCTGCATCCAATCCATCTAAATGTGACGGCGTCGAGTTGAGTTTTTCTTCAGGTAAAAGACAATTCTGAAGTGTTAATACGATTTTTCCATAAGGTTTCGTATTGCCTGTGATTGTATTTTTTGCCGGAGCAGTAGAATTTTCTTTTGTATTACTCATTATAAGTTTCACTGTTTAAACACAGTAAAAACTTTTTGTTCAATCACTTGTAAAAAAAGAGGTTAACCTTTCATTTCCTCGAATGAACCATACCTTCTCGAAGTATAACTTTAAACATTAGTACTTATATATATATAAAAGTATAGTTCGCATAGAACTCGTTTCTTCCGTATGGCGCTACTGTCTATTTTTGACAATCAATTGTTTTATTCGATTTTTGTCATTATTTCAATAAAATAAAGAAGAGTAAATATTTATATTAAAAAGATTTCCTTTAAATTATTTTCAATATAATAAATTTGTATAAAATATCTTATATATATATATTTAAACATTAAAAAATAATTGTTCGTTTGTATAATTTTTGAGCATTTCCGGTAACTAATTAATAGTTTGTGGAACACAATTGGGCGCGAATCATAATTGCTTCGAAAAGTTTGAAATATCAAGTGCAGTGTTAAAATATAGTGTTAAAAAATAAAAAAGAATATTGAAATAAAATTAAAATATCATATTCTTTTCATATTATCTTTCAAGAATATTTTTGATCAATAAATTTAGCAAAACATAGGTAAATATATAATATAATAATCGTTTAAATCGTTAAAAATTTAATTATAATTATATAAATAGATTTTTGAATATTGTTTGTTCATATTTTTTTACAGAATATTTAATTTATCAACATAATTCGGTTTAATTTAGAAGCAAAAACATAGCAGACTGGTGAGTTTTTTTATATTTTTTAATATTATTTTAAAAATTTTATTTTTCTAATCGACAAATTATGCTATTATAAGATACTCGAATATTTCAAATTGTAAAATTTTTTAGCCTTCAACATAGGATAATAGGAAAAAACTATAACGATATTTTGTTTAATTATATAATGATATATCTTTTTGTTATTACATGTAATTTTTTGTTGTTTAAAAATCAACATGCATACAATTGCATTTTAAAACTTTAATAGTGTCAAATTCACACGAATTTTCAATTAATTAAAATTGAATTTTTTCGAACTTACAAAATAATAGGATTTTGCACGCAATTTTGTAAGGATGACATATTAGTGCAATTATAAATATATACACACATATATCAAGAAATATATATAATATAATACAATCGCATAACATAACAATTATTTATACAACGTATACAAAATAGTAACTTATAATGAAACATAACGCAAAGTAAATAAAGAAATAACAATAGGATAGATATCATTTATATGTTATACACATAATTATATTTTTTGTTCGAGTTCTTTTTTTAATTTCGGTCCCTATTTTTCTTATTACATACAAATTTTACAACTGTAAGTGAATGGAAAAACAGATTTCATATCGAGTACCTGATCTTCGTTGTACTAATATAACCTTGCGTTTACATAATTCGTTATGCAGATTGAATTATTGAAATTTAAAAGCGCATTTTAATGCGAGGTATTTTGATAAATGTTCTGCTTCGTAAAATTAGTACGGACCGAAGTAGGAACAATTTTTATGATTAAAAATAAAATTATTATACAAATCATATTAATCGTATTTTACAAAATTTTTGTTTATTAATTATTAAAAATCGTATTATATTAATGTATTCATTCGTACAGAAAAGATTTATATCTCGATAAAAATCTTGTTATATCCATAAAGCAACTATACATACATGAAAGTTCTTGAAGTCGAGTGGTCTTAAAAAGTTTGAAAAAATAAAATTTCCAGCATTCGCGCTGTATTATTCCCTGTATTGTGCGATGCATATATATTGCATTTTTCTAAAAGATCTTAAAGCATATTATTGCGTTAATGATTGTCGGTAACATAGTAACTTGTCGAATCGATAATTTGTAATGATGCTTTGTACTAATTTTTGTCAAATTAGTTCGACAAATTGCCACATTATCAACAATTGTTGCCACAAAATTTTCATTTGTCTCGTCTTGTCTCGAATTAGAAAATGTAAATTCTACGATTTGCTGGTATGAATTAATGCAATGGGACTCGACCATCAAATAGGTCAATTGGAAGAGAACAAACTACCGGTTGTTTTATGATTGTCGTGGCAGTGCAAATTGCAGTAGAAAGCACTGCGCATTTTATGTTTATATTTGGACATAAAAAATCCGATAGTCTGAATTTTAGTCAGACATGGTGTGATCTGATCTCAATGCAAAGATAAAGTTATTTAAAAAAGTGCCAGTTATTGATATTGCTAAAAAGCAATATTTATTATTTTATATTTCTAAGTTATGTCATTAAAAAGACTAATGCACTTCGCTATCTAGCAAATTTCAAGCACATAAAGACGTTCCTTTAAAATCTCACATAAACACTTCAAACACTTTCAGTTATAAGTTTATATATCAATCATTTAAAAAGAAAAAAGTTCGCACTGCATATCGATCAACACATATCAATTATAGCAATAAACAATAATTTTTTATGCCTGTTCAATGCAACATGTCGGTAATATATCGACTTGTAGTCAAAATGAGATGCTTCATGTTCATTTTCAAATAATGGAATTTCTCTACGTTCAAGATCACTTATTAAATAAAACTTGAAATACATTTCATTATTTATATGCAGTTGCATATTTTTAGATATGAAGGAAAACACAAATGTAATATTTTCATCTTTTTGATTTTATAACTTAACCTGATTTTCTGATACTTAATTCCGCGCTGTAAATTTCGATCAAATCTTTTATAGTTTTAAAACAGAATAAATGTATATAGTTTTACAAAAGATACGTTAAAATTTAACATTTTTCTTCAAATTGATTTTCACATAAGAGAATCACATAGAGCTCATATTGTCTTATTATTTAAATTTGCAACATAACAGCAAAATTGTAATCACAATGACGAAAGTGAGCATTTTACACTCCCGATAGCCGATTAATGAAATTTGATTTATGAAACCAGAATGTATTTAATGAACTTGGTTGACGTCAGCGTGATGGTACACCGACATCGGCGGATCGAATTCGAAGAAGATCGGCACGAAGCATCAGCGGCATACGTATGGCTGACGATTCGGCAGGTCGCCACATTACTGGTGATCGTTCTCGTGACAATGGCGTTGGAATTGGACAATCATTCACACGATGTGGTGCTGGAGTCAAAGAACCTGGAGGTGCACGATAATATTTATGACCACCAAGTGTTACAATTTGTCCCTGATCTGAAATGTTTGGTATGTCTTTAATTGTTGATTTTGTCTTGAGTTTTGTCACTGGCTGTGGTATTCTTAATGGATGTATATCCATTTTCTTTCCTCCGCTCAGATCTAGAATATCTCTTGATTCTTGATCCCTTTTCCGTTTAGTAGGAAGTGCTTGTCGTTGCTGATCACGTTCTGGTTGCTTGGTTTGCCTTGGTTTTAAGGGTGCAGGCATCCTTATTTGTCCTGCTTTTAATGCCTTTAGTACTCGTGGATCGACAGATCTATCATTTAAAGTAATGCTTGGACTTACTTTTCCCAGAGTATTCTTTCGATTATCTTTGGAATCATTTGGTTCAATAGATCCACCGCTATTTCCAGGTGATTTTGGTGCTGTTAGAGTTATACTAAGACTTGCAGGAATGTTTAATCCACAACCATCTAATATATTTCTTGTATCATTCGAAAGTATTGGACTTGAGGAAGGTTTTGAACTTGATGTCGTGAGTGTTCGACTAGGTCCAGCTTCTGCAATTATATTTCCCGGTCTTTTTGCTGAAATAACATGTTCCGTTGTTAATTTTCGAGGTGATTTCGTATTATTTTGCATAACAGGAGACGGATGTACATGAGTTTGCTTTTTTGAGATATGAGTTTGAATCTGTTGTTTCTTTCTTCTGATATCAAAGATTGGTAAACCTGGTGGACATTTTCTTTTCACTGCTCCCGCGGGAACTATAGGTGGATCATTAGAAAAAGTATATACATCCACTTTTGCGGGATTATTATTAATGCTGATGTTCATACTTGGATTTGTACTTTTTGAGTAAGCAAACGTGCAAGTATCTATATCATTGCATTGTTTATTCGTGTTCATTCGCGCATTGTTACTAATTCCACTCATTGGTTTACTTACATTCGAAATATTTCCACTTGCATTTACACTAATATTTTCATTATTACTTTTATTCTTTGAATTATTTATATTATTTGAAGTTTCTGTTGCGTTATCATCTTCTTTTTTCGGAGTGACGTTATCTTTGTTTTGTGTATCATTAATCTCATCTTTCATATTTAATTCGTTAGAGGAAGATTCTAATTTTATTTCGGATCCTGTCTCTCTAGCTGTCAGCTGAAAACTTTGAAGGAATTGTTTTTTTTCTTGCTGTTCTCCTGGTTTTTTCTGTATACTTTTTAAAGTATTGCCATTAGTATTGTTGGTAGTACTAATAGTTTTCTCAGGAGTCAATCGTTCCATAAAAGTTACTCTTCTTCTTTGTTCTTCTTGCTTTTCTATTTGACGTTTCTCTCTGTTCCTTTGTAACTGTTGAATAAGTAACGCCTCAGAACTATCTTTGTCTACTTGGCCACAATGTAATAATACATTACTGATAACTTTCGGCTTGTTTGGACTTGTATTGTTTGGTGAACATTGTTTTAAAGTAATCTTCACTCCATTTGAATTCTGTCCGTTTCCTATACTTACAACACTAAATTCTGGATTTGAAGATTTTGTTTCAATATTTGTAATGCTTTGTTCTTTCGAATTCCAACTTCCTGGCGGACTTCTCAAAACTTCATATCTTCCATCTGAGTTCTTGAGTATTTTTATAGGTGTTTTAATTTGTTTATTTTCACTATTCGATGTGGATGAGACATTATTTGTATTAGTAGTTGTCGTTGCCGATGAAACAACTGTGTTGGTAGCTGTCGTTGTTGACGTAATATTCGTCGATGCTATGGAAACTATCGTTGATGTCGTGGTTGTCGAAGTTACTACACTACTTATAAGTTGATCTTCTTTAATAGTTATTTTATGGTTATCAATAGTTTCGTTTGTAGATATTTGTTCACTTGCAGAACGCGATTTTTCATTCGAAATTTCATTTTGATTGTCCAACGTGGTTTTTTCATCGGTATCCTTTATAGATTTTGTTTCCGATTTGGATTCTATATCATTCTCAGGATCTTCCGAATTAATGTTGTTCTGTACAGCAATAGTGGTGTCGACTGGAGGAAAACTGGCGCCCAAACCTGGTGTAGAAGGCCTGTCGTGAGGAGGTGCCTCTAATCTTTGCTCTTCTAATGCAACTCGGTAAAAAAATCGCATTGGTGCATTCTAAAAATAGAATTTTTAAACATCAAATGATAAAAGAAATACATTTAAAACATTTCATAAGAAGAATAGACAATGCTTTACCCTTTTCCATGCGTAAATATAAGCGACATCCATTAGGGTCCAATGTTCCGGAAGTGGAGCACGTCGATGACAAATTTCGATCGTGTACCTTGTCATATCGACATTGTATTTCGAAGCTAAGAATTTTTTTAAATGCGCAATAGTTACCAGTGCTGGACATTGAAGGTATCGTCTACTCGTTGTATTTGTGCTATGATTGTTAGCATTATTGCTATAACCATTATTACTACCATTGTTACTGTTATTATTTTGATTATTAGATGCGTTAGAATTGTTGGTATCATCGTTGGTGCTAAGTAAAATGCTCATAGGATCGGCTCCGGGCGGTAAATATTCCAAGCTTAAACTAACAGCATCTTCTGGAGCGAAAATTAATCTTCCACTAACATCTTCTCCACGTTGTTCTGGAGTCGCTAAATCCGCTATATATAAAATTTATGCGTCAAAATAATTGTTATGAAAAATACAATCAAATTAAAAGATAGATAATAATTTTGAATAGTTTTACCATGCTCCGGATGTTTTTTGTAAAACTCTCTTCTCTTTCGCATCTCTTTGTGATATAATCCTGGAACCAATTTGTATACGATATCTTGCAATGCCTTATCAGCTCTGAAAATAAGTTTTTTAAATAATTTCCCATTTCGAAGAACTTAAAATTTCTAGATCTTGTAAACTTCTAGATCTAGCGAAACTTACTTGATATTCGGTTTGGCTTTGTTGAGAACATGTTTACAAGAAGGACAATGAGCTTCTGTGTTGAGATGCTTGAGAATACAGCTTCTGCAAACTGAACGGCAAAAAAGCAATATATCATTTCTGTTCCGCGGAATATAATTCAAATTTGATTTAATTTACTTACACGAATGCAAACATTCGACAACAGTGGTTGCATCTATAAGATATCCTCTGCATAAAGGACAAATAAGATAGGGATTTACCTCTCGGAGGTAAGTCCTTTTACCTATTCCCGACATTTTTCTTATTCTTAATTGTCGGTGATAATGTCTGTAACGATAAACACGATTCCATGTAATATCTCCAATGGAAAGCTGTAACGTCAAAAAAATCAATCTTAGTATCGATGAAAATTTTTGTTTCTTGTTAAAGCATTAAGAGAGATAATAAGATGAGTAAAATAAAAGTCGTCGTATGAAGCGTAAAGAAATATAGGTATAGTGTTTTCATTATCGAAATGCATCTCGCGTATCCCTTTCCGTGCTTTGATCGACAAAACAAACAGATTAGAATTCTAAATGCGTTTGATTATTTATCATATGTGGTACTTTTATGAAAAGCAGCTGTCTCATCCATGCGCGACGATAACGAGATACGCGACGATAATTCGCAAGTTTCGCAGATAAATCGCATGACATAGGAAACGGTTAGGCCGAGTCATGGTGTTTAGCCCACTTTCCCGAAGGTTTCTCAGGTAGCTAGAATCCCGTTGCCTCGTTCTCGGGCCCCCCTCCATCCGATTTCAACCACCCGTAGGTATACGGGTGCGTTTTATCCTCGTATTCTCCCTGCCTGAAATTGTCCTTTCCGTTTTTCCACTCGCCTAACATGGTGAAATCGTGGATGGCAGCCCTTAGTCTGCGAACGAAACGCGTATGCATCCATGTACCCGCCAAATATCTGCCCATATTGATCGAATATCGCGGAATTTTGCAGAGAGCCAACGATAAGTCAGTAAACGGTGCCGTTATCGCTGCCAAGAATTAACTCTACTCGTTTCGAGATCGTTCTATGAATTCTAAGTGTTTCGATTGATCTGAGAGCACGTGTACGAACGAGATATCGACAACGATACGGTACATCGAAATATGGAAAAGTGAATATGGATGGAAAATTACATTCAATTTCTAACGTCATTTGCTACGAATCTACATACGTTAACGTTGTTTCGTGCTATCAACAGACACTAACGGAAACTAAAGGAGATTCTTGCTCGAATTTCTGTTACGAGGTTTCTCCCGCTTTATCTCGCTCGTTGCTATATCTTCGAGATTCTGCTCGTAAGTTCTCATTCGATCGTTTGCGTCCGTTTGCTTGGACACTTTCCTCCGAGTGCAGCACATGTCGCGAATGCAGGGACGCGTCAAAGTAAAGGCCTGTACACAACTAAGAGTAGATAAGAATAATCTTCGAAACGAGAAGATATTGAGAAGATATTCTTCGAATCTCGAATGACGATGATGCATTTGTTAGGGAAAGAAGATCTAGGTGAGCATCGAGTTCAATTATCGCGATGGAAATTAACTAGAATTATTTACATATCGAATCGGCTAACTTTAGGTACACACCACACGTTCTGCAATTCTAGTACTTCGTCTATTTATATCGAGCTGGTCGTAAGAAGAAGCAAAATTCTCAAACGAAATTGTGACAAGCGATAGAAAGAGAGATCACTTCGAATCAATCGTGAAATCGTGCAAATTCTCATAATATTCAAATAGTTATACTAATATTAGATTAGTTATCATCAAGTGCTGTTTCAAAAAGATTTATTTTAAAAAATCAAGTAATTTTTGTTACTTTTCTTCATATAAATTTTATCAATTGCATCAGCAAGTTAGAAAGAATATAATAACGAGAAAGCTTTGTTAAGAGAACGTTCTTTCAATGGAGTTTACACGAACATGCCCTCATTTTTGAACGTCTCATTTTCTTTCGCGAAACTTTAGTCGTCTTATCGCGCGTTACAGATTAGACCCCCAGCTGCTTTCTGATCCCTCGACCATCGCTTCTATACGCTTGTACCCCGAGAAAAGAGAGTAGGGAGACGTCGACCCTACTGGACGGAAGACCACGATTCGAAGTAACCTAGCGACGGTCTACAAAAATCGCAAAAGAAAGGCATTCAATCGTCCAGCTTGTCTTACGACCGTTGTCCAGGAAAAAAGTATTCTTTCCTCTCCAAATGTTCGAGGTTCGCGAACATTCGTTTCTCTTTGTAAAATTTATTTCCAGACGCGGTAAAATCGAAAATGATTAGGTAATCGCATTCTTTTCAACGATTTGTCAGCATAGTTTCTTCGATATAATTGTTAAGCGACGATAAGAAATTTTTAATTAATAAGCTGAAATCGCCGAATAAAGCGCCGACGATAGGCCTTCGAACTTGATCTCATCCATCGAAAGGAATTTCCCGCCTATTGTTTGTTCCGTTGCTTTCGTATTCCATGTTTCACAGCGATCTGGTTGTTGAGACGGCCAGCTGATTAATCAGTAGAGACACGTTTCCTTGCATATCGTAGACAACGGAGGGGTTTGCGCGATCGCGAGCGCGAACATTCCGCGACGAAAGCGGCAAAACGAGTTTTTTTTTCAGTGGAAAGCTTTCGATGTGCTACCTTCGATTTCGGACAATAATTGTTAAATTTCGCGTTCTAAAAAGCGATTATCCTCGCAGAAAAACTGAACGACCGATACTCATGCTCTCTGTGAGAAACCGGCCGTGTTCCCAGTCGATGTTTATTCCATCGTCGCGCGTATCGCGAACGCATACCGAGCGATTTCGTCGAGGACGAAAGAGGAGGCAGCGCGAATATGAGAAAACGCATAAATACACGAGTGCCGCGTACGAGAATAAGACGACGCGTGTAAGTTGGAGAAAGAGGGAATATGAGCAAGAGGATAGACCGAGGAGAGGGGCAAACGGGTAGTAACGAGAGAAAGAGGGAGAGAGAGTGAGAGCGGGACAGAAAAGAAGAAGGGAGGGAGAAAAAGATGGAGGAAACCGCTCTCTCCGTCTTACTCTCCCTTTTTCTTTCTTCTCCCTTGCTCTTTCTTGCCCTCTTCCCCTCCCTGTTTCTCGCTGTTGTTTCTCAGCATTCAACCGGCGAGTAGGTTTACATGTACACAAGTGTATTCGCTGGAAAGCGCTATATTGGGTGATAGAGTGTGCGTGCGTGTACTTACGTGCGAGCATGCGAACCGTACGTGCGGCTACACGCATACGAGAGTGGCTAACGCTATCCTCTATGGTAGTAGAGCATACTGGCCGCGTACGTACACAAAGCGATGCCGTATCGTTCGTGCTCCAATGATATTGTAGAGGAAATGCGAGGTCGCTACAGTATTCGGGTTCGGGTTCAAACTCGAAGTCCTCCCTCTTGCGAAATCGAGATGAGGGCTGTCCAGACAACAGTGACGTCGCGTGCTCGATGTATACGCGATTTCGTGACGTACAACCAGCTTCCCTGGCATTCGAGTAAAGCCGACGGGATTTACTTTCACCTTACCGCCGACTGTGCACTAAGCTCTGAAATTACGTTACGGCCTGGCCAGACTCGTTAAAAAGAAAATTTAATACGAGCTCAAAAATCACAACAACGACAATTATCGTGACAACGATGACGACGACGACGACGACGACGACGAATACACGGTTAGACAGGAATACGATGAGTCCGTACAATGGCGCCACGGAATACTGTGCGGCGTTTTATGGAACTAAACCACGGAAATGAACGACATCGGCCATAAAACGATCGTAGCAACACACGAAATACCGAACAGTACGGCGACTCACGCCAAACTAAACTGAAACCCCGAGTGGGATATGCCCTTTCCCCTCTTTCCCCTCCCTCTGGCAGTCCCTGCATCCCTTTGCCGCGCGCCCCTTTTGCGCTCCATGTTCACCCCCTCCATAGTCTTTCTCTCCTGTCCTCCAGGCTTTACACACTCCTCGCTACGCCTGTCGTTTCGTTTTACTCCTCTCTTCGCTTCTCTTCTCTTCTCTTCCCTTCTCTTCTGTTCTCTTCTCTTCTCTCTCTTCTCTCCCTTCGCGTTCTCTCTCTTTGTCTCTCTCTCTAGTTCCGACTCTTTCTTGCCCCTTCGAGCACCGTATCTTTACTCGACTGTTCGCTTGACTAGCCTGCCTAGTCTGCCTGGCTGCCAGCCTGGCTTACCCGAGTTGTCTGCCTTGCCTGCTCGCCTGCCTGCCTGCCTCGCTGCCTGTACGAGTCGTTTTTCTCTCCATTCCTCTATGCGCGCTTCTGGCCACCCCTCCTCTCTCTGCCGAGTGGTACGTACCGACACTAGTGTACTACACGGAACACACGAACGAGCGACTACTCCCCCTTCACCCCATCGAGGATCACGCCGCGTTACCAGCCGGGTTACGAGCTCCCCTCTATTCGTGCGCCGATACCTCACCCTTTTCGAGCTACCCCTCTCTTCGTGCATTACGTTTCGTCCTCTCTTTCTTTCTCTGCTCCTCTGATTATTCTCTTTCGTCTCTCTGTGAACGTAGAAACGACCCTCTAACTCGAGCTCTGATCCTTCGTCTTCTTCTTCTTTGATCGTTCTTCTATCTCGTAACCTCCAATTATATCATGCTAGCAACGGAAATCGGTATTTTCAGATTGCAACTAGATGAATTTCCGCGTATGTTTGAATAAATGCGGAATAAACCCGTTTACGTTGAAAAACCAGTGTTGACTGGTGCTTTATCGCGAAGCAAGCAACGTATGGTCCTTTGATCGGCAGTAAAATCAGGTGAAATTACGAGGAAACCCGATAAACTTTTATTACGAATCTTAATTTCATATGTATCTATATCGCAAATATTACGTTTTTTCAATTTCAAATATTCAACATTCCTCTTCTTTTAGATTTTACTTCTTGAATTTTATTACGTAACGTAGATTGACAATTCTGCAAGAAATGTTTATCGTTTTCCTTGATGCTTTTCTCTATATAAAAATTCAATATGTATTACATAAGCTATCAAAGAAATAAGTATCCAATCAAGGTAATATTTATCACAATTTCCCGAAAGAATAATTGTAAATGGCAAGTGAATCAAAAATTTTTATTCATTCTGGTATCGTATTTCAAATAAGAACTTCGTGTTTTATCCGAAGTACGAAGATCTCAGTTTAGTTTATCGAAAGACCAAGAATGCCATTTAATGTCAAAAATACAATTATTTGCAATTAATCTTTGATAGATCAATACCGAAGAAAACAATAGATCTATAAATCTACATAAAAAATCGGTTTATAGTTTGTAGCGACGTAGCAAACGGCAAAAATACAAGCGTATATCGCCAGCATTATCATTTCGCATTAATCGAAGTTAAAAATTTCATAGTATACTAACATTTAGCGATATAACTTGCGTATCAATTTCATTTTGTCCACATGTATTTGTAAGAATCTGAATAATCGCACTCCGATAATATTTCCTGTTCCCTAAACTCCGCCATTTTGGTCCCTACCGAAAACAAGCGGCGACATGACGGAACGGTGTATCTAATCTAGACTCTACTAACGTTGCGCAACATTTAATCATACCTACATCCGTTTTACTTCTTATCAACTGCAAATGTCGGCTGACCTCTGTTACTGAATATCCATTTAGATGCAACTTTTTAGTTCTAAGCGAAACACTCCATTACTTTTATTTTCGACTCATTCTGCTTAAACATGGTAACGTGAAAACATACAAAGTTTATAGGCACGATACGACAAGTTTAGCTTCCGATTTTCGTTACAGAGATTCGAAGTTAGACGCGAGATAACGGTATTTAACTTGATCCGACAAGTTCGTTCTTTGCTTATTTTCTGCCCCGAACGGATCGACATTTTCGTAATGAACATCGAAATTACATCGAAAGCCGAGAACGGGAACGGGCGCAAGGAGAAAAATCATTGCAGATACACGAAAATACATTGCATTCGCATCTGCGTACCTAAGTGTCCGAATGCGAGTCTTCGTGTGCAAGTACAGCGTACAGATCTCCGTGACGTGCACCCGCTCGCTATTTGCACGTACGGCGCGCTTGCGCTGTCGAATAATCTTTCAATCCGCCAACGCTTTCCTCTGACCGGAGACACGTAAAGCTCTCGATTCTCAAGATTATTATTAGAAATCTAATGGAATCGGCATTGGAAATATCGTTTCCAGAGCAACGCAATTCTGTCGGCTGAAAATCGATGATGATGTCGGAACGGAAGAGATGCCGTTTCAATATCGGACGAATTGTCAAGGCTTACGTTACGATAAATAACGTAGTTGAATATTTAATAAAGAACACGAGTTAACGAATTAATCTTGTACAATGAGCACAAAAGGACTCGAGAATTCGGGCAGTTAATCTGAATGGGAACCAAAATGGCGGTAATACATTGCATTACAGCCAGTCGATAAGCCTGTTTCATAGGTTACGAGCAGGAGAACCAATCGTTTCGAAAGTTTGAAACGTATGCACGATATTACAATAGTGTCAGCAGAGTCTTTGTCTCGCATTGAATATACCGTGACAATTAATTTCTCCGGTGTATAACGAATGTATTCCCGTTCTTGCATGATGCAGTTACATCAGGTCGCTAAAATCCTGGTTATAGATGAAAAAAATCTAACTGAACAGGCACGTGCACCGTGTCTAAACTCGTAAAGAGACAGAGATTCGGGAAATTCGCAAGGTGAATTGAATTTTAGCGAAAGACGAAAAACCGATGACGAATCTCGATTGAGAAATATTAATTACGGGCGTTTTTAATTACACCAGTCAGCTATGAGGCAACTAACAGCATACTCCCACCACGGTAATCGACCTTCCAATCCTGACACTCCCTGGGTGTACTTTAAGAACCGTTCCCCCTTCTACCGGTTCCCGAACAGTTGGAGGATGCCGACAAAAATATTCGCATGGTGCGTGTACGTTCCCTTCCCCTCGAACCCTCGAGCCCTGCAGATCTCCCCTCTAGCATACATCGCTTGAAAACACCGACCGTAGGCTTCCTCCCGAAGCTTTCTCTGGAAGGATCCCTTGGAGGGCTATCCCCACCAGGAGGGCTTGGACGGATGGTCGGTCGTTTAGCTGTGGAACGCGGCTGGAATCACGAGCGAATGAGACGCCGCTAGATGGGCTCCGCAACTATCTCTTCCTTTAGTCCTTTCTCCGTTTCCTCGGCTCGTTCTTTGTCCACCGTTCCGCGAATCGTTCCCTTCTCGGTGTATAGAACCTGTAGGTGATACGTGGGCGGCCCGATCCCAACATTCGGTCGGAGGATATATTGGTATACGTGCAGGATCTCCAGTGAGTCTGCGCCGCGTTATCGGTCGATATACGCTTTTGGGAAACCTTCCACGTGTTTTGTGGAGCCGCGTGAGGCCGATTCTCCGTTGCTTACCTCCTGCTACTCCACCTATTTGCGTGTAGCGATCGAAGACGAGTCATTAAGGTTGTGCCACTCCCTCGTAAAACATTTCGAACTAATTTATCGAATTCAGATTTCCCCTTTCACGAAAACGAAACTGTTTATCTATATTTTAAATATATATCGTTGTTTCGTGTTGTATCGTAGCGGCAAAAATTCGCTAGAGGTATAGCAATGGCGATTTTTTGACAGAACAATCATCATCGGAGAATCATCGACGATTCTCGATTACCGATCCTGAGAAATGATAGGTAATAATTGTGACGGAGGTCAAAACAAATTGATCATCGGAAGCATTAATATATGTAGATTTAAGTTGGTGGTAGGTGCCAGCCGGAACGGCGGCATCCTACGATCGCCTACGTGCAATCCTGTCGCAGACGGCCACGCCGTTTCGATAAACGGCCTACAAAGCCTTCGGAGGGGACGGGCCGATGCTTACATTCCCTGGAGCCCCTCCTGACATCGGCTGTACGTGGGTACATTATTCATTCTCTACTACATTCGGCAGCAGGAGGGTGCGGATGAGTGTGTGCGTATCCCTCGTAGCCGATGACACGACATGCACTTGCGTCTCTTTTATATGTGTAAGTTCATGTAGGTACGCGTACCTTTTCTCTCTTTTTCAATACCTTCCTCTTTCTCTATCCCACCCTTCCCTTTCCACTCTCGCTCTCCCTCCTTCTCTATCCTTTTCTACCTGTACGCCCATCCTTCTTTCGCTTTATTCACGTACGATTTATCGTCTCTCTCATCCTCTCCTCTTTTTTCCTTCTTTCTTCCTCTTTTTTGCTTTATCTATCTTCCCCTTCTTTTCCCTTTCTCCCTCTTTCTCTTACCCGCCTCCGTCCATCCACCCTTCGCCGGATATTTCCGTCTCTGTCTCTTTTCATCCTACACGTCCCTCTTCCTCGTGTTCGCGGTGTAAACGTGTACGTGCGTAAACAGAAGCCAGTAAAAGGATAGCACGGTGGGATGGAGGACGACAAGGGCAGGCCGCGTCGGAACGGGAGATTGTGGAGGGATCGAAGAGGTGGCGGCATTAGTGCGTACCGACCGGGGCAACGGGGTGCGAGAAGAAAAGAGGGAGACCGAAATCGGAAGAGTATCAGGGGGAAAGGGAGAGAAACGGATTATTAGAGAGAGAAGGGAATGGTTAGCGTGGTGGTCGATTGTACACGATGCGTTGGGACAGGGAGGGAACGTGGTCGGGTATAGAGGCACGATCCTCTTCGGGAACGAACCTTTCGCCTCGTGTATAAACGTCTCGCTTTAGGTAAGCTCACCCCTCTTCACTTCCGACGCTCGCAACGCACTTTCCTGGGGGAGGTTGTAGCCAATCAGCGGCCGAGTTTCCGTGGCCCGCGGCCGCAGGCTGACTCCACATCTCCTGTACCTAATGTAGGTTGTCGAAGGTAGGCATCCTTCGTACCCTCCTCGCCTTTTTTACCTTCGCCCCCCCCTACCTCCTAGCTCGGGTCGAAGAGGGCGAAGGGGCCGAAGGTAACGAAGGTCATTTACAGAGGCCTGTACCTGATTCCTCTTCTTCTTCGCTACTTTTGTACATCTTTAGTATCTTTGAGATCATTGAGACAATGTTTCACTCGTAATCTCGTGGTTGATCTTTCTAAATTTTATTTCCGCCATTATATAAATAAGTATTATGCAATTTCTTTTGATTATGCCATTCATTATTTTTGAGCCATTTCGATTTTCTTTTCGATTGTTTCAGGACATTTTTAGTATTGCTGGTATTCCATTATTTATTTGTATTTATAGTAAAATTCTCCAAAATTGTTATTGCACGCCTCGTAAATTTTAAAAATTGCAGAAAAGTTTGTTTCGATTCCATTCGAATTTAAAAATGGCGTAGAGGTGGTGGAGGCATCGGATTATTATATCACGAAAATTCTTATTGACTTCTTATTATTTCCTATATTGTTTATAATTTTTAATTTATGTAATTATAATAGATGTATCGTTCGAACAAAACACAGTGAAATTTTTTTTAAATATCAAGATATATTTTGAATGTTATTGTATACGCAGTAATTTAATGAGGTATCATATAAAGGAGGTAAAGAGAATGAAGTACACTCGTTTGTGATTATACACATCACGATTTATTGACGAGCAATGATCGTACACTGTAATATGATTCTTAAAAAAACAATTTTAACAAAACATAGGAATAATCACGCTAACTAATTAGCGATAACAAACATTGCCGATTAATCGTCGACAAGATGTAACGCGGCGTTTTTAAACGCAGAGAACCTTGCGATAATGACATGGATAATTAGATACTCGAACGATCAATGGTACTAGATATATAGTAATATAATATGCATTTATAATGTGAATTATTTTGCAACTTAATCTACAATAATTTTTCATTTTTTTTTCTTTTTTTTTTGTCTTGATTTCGATAAAACATATTGTATACAGTGCTTTATTTTTTAGCTCATTCTTACAATTCGATCTTGGTCAAATCGTACGCACTGAGTTAATAAAATTGGCAATTTTAGGACCGTTCTATAAGTAACAACGAAACAATTTGATAAAACGTTAAATCAAAGGTTAAACATGGAAATAGAAATAACTTTAAATATTTTAATAATTATATTCTCAATGATTATAGACATTTTTAGTTCGATTACAACTCACAACTTGTTTATTATGGAAATACTGTACTGTTATAGTATATTTTAATATTGAGGTATGGGCATAATATTGATAGTAATTGCGTAATTAATTGCATACTATTCCATAGAATTATTATGAAAATGCTTTCGAAGCATACTCGATCAGGCTTATTATTAAAAATCGTAATCTTAAACTGTGAAACGAAAATTTTACGTAGTTACGTTACAAACAATAGGCTTCGCGATGATAAAAAATAATTTGTATCTTTTTTTATTATAATTATAATTTTCTTTTTTTTTTAACTTAAAACTTTTCGCTTAAATAATTAATTTTCGATCACACAGATCTGCGATCTCATCCAAACGCAATTGCGACAATTTAATTTGTCTTCGTTCTTTTTATCATATTTTATGCTTACGATACGTCACATTTTGGGCACAATGGTTCAAGAAATGATCCTCAAGATATTCAAAGTTGGGAAAAATTTGACGACCCTTTGTCATAGTACACAGGTATATTGCCTTTACTATACAGGTATACATCGTGCGTTCAAGTCTTTTCGAATTCTAACTTTGGATACGGTACGTACTGGTCGTGTTGTTAATAAGGAAGTACATGAATGTTGCTTCAAACAATGGGTTAATATTTCAACTTACGTACAGTTACATGGCAACTATCTATTCTTGGAACAATTTTGATATTAAAATCTTTACAGTCTTCGTGGCTACTTTATCGTTTCGTAAGTCATCAGTTCGAACGAATTTTATTATGTTTTCAATGTAACTATTCTGTAATTGGCGGATCGATAGATAAATTACGATTGATCGTAATAATCGTAGAACGTAACGCGATGCCGTTTTAAAAAGGTCGTAGAAAAATAACGTGTAAAAATCTGGGTCCCTTTTAGTTCATTATAAATTCTAACGAGCAATGATCTCTAATGTATTCCCTCGTTTTTTTTTCCTCTAAACTGGCAGTTTTTTTTTGATTTTTAGCTTATTCAAAATCGTGTGGTTCCCTTTTCTCAAACATTATCGACGATGGGTAACCATGTAACTAGTTGACGCAAATTTCGTAATTAATTCAAATCTCTGAATTATATTCGTCGCGAATTATGCGTTTTGACATTATCCATTTTTTTCTTTATTCGCATTTTATTGGCACGCATTTCCTCTATTTTTCAAGATTTATATTTCGACTAGAAACTGTTTGAACTGTTATTTTTACATACCCACCTTGACTCAACTTCGATAATTGGATATCATAAAAATTCTTTTTTTTTACGCAACGTGTACGCTCGATCGATGCGTGCATACCGTTAATATTGAATTATTTTGATCGTTCGAGTAGGATCTGGATTTTTGTTTCCTAGTAAACATTTTATTTAAAATTTCCTTCAAATCAAGTTCATCTTTATTGCTGTCCTATACGGGGGCAATTCTATTCGACTGTACAAATTCCGATACAGTATTAAAAATCGTATATCACGCACAACGAGCTTTCAACGCACTCGATTAATTTTTCTTTCTCAATATTTTTTTAAAGCGTTTCATCGACGATAATATATATTAATATAAATATATATATATATATATTATCACACGATTAATATATCATTCTTAAATCAATAACAGCGATATGAGTTTACGCTTTTATAAAATAAAAACTTCCTTATATGTGATACGTACGATCTTTAGAGAATGCATACGTATATTTAAATTCCCAATTCAACAGTACCTCTCGATATCGAGGAATCGAGCGTACATTAAAACATTTTTTTTTTTTTTTTTTTTCTTTTGCAAAGCTCCTCGCAGCTTCGTAGCCAATTTCTTAGAAGATCGCCGCATACTTTTAGCCGTAACGACTAGTATCCATCCCGCGAAATTCAACTTGGACTGGATATCGCAATAAATCGCTTGTAATATATTATATTATGATAGACGATAATTAAATTGCACTAATACATTGCACACGTTCTCTGGCGTTCTTTGGCATCTCTATGAAGTACATATTTCTCTAAGATTCTAAGATTCTAAAAAAGGAGCGACAACATGTGAGGGGAAGGGGAGAGGAGGGGAGGGGAGGGGAGGGGAGGAGGGACAAGAAAGCTTATCCGTCATCCATCCATCGTTCCATTCTAATCATTCATCCGGTATCCTCATCGCTACAACCCTTAACCATACGTTATACTACGTTTAATATATCTCCGTCAGCCGTTGTATCATTGCCAATAGAGCGACGAATCGGCGAGTCGCCGACACTTTTCGTAAATTAATCTGTCAGCTTGGGCAGAAGTATGTATAATTTGCATTTTTTAATGGTTGATCATAGACACACATACATGCATTACGAACATACGTAGCTTAATATATCTATAGATAACAACGGTCTGGATACCGCCATTGAATTCTTATTTAAAAGGCAAAAAGACACACGGTACTAATTCATTACTAGCTTGTAATTAATATGCTCCCTTTTTTTTTTTTTTTTTCAATGTAAAAATCTCGCATTGAACGATCTTTTCTTTGAAAATTTTCTTAATCTTAATCTTTAAAAGTAAATATACCTACTCTCATTATTAACTCCTATCATTCTTTCTCTCTTTTCTTTCTAAGTTAACGTTTTAATTATTCAAGTTTTTCCATGCGTCTTTATGCCCGTACGAAAATTCATCATTGTTTTAAGAAACATTATAGGAAGCGGGTGAAAATATATATGGTAACATACAGCCTTTGGATTGGTCACGTAGGAATCTTGTTTCCATAGGAGCATTTTTAAGTAATAACAACAACAACAATAATAATAATAATAATAATAATAATAATAGGAAGTAATGAAATAAGGTTAAGGATAGAGGAAAATCGAGTGTTTCAGTCGATCAAAAATAATTCTTCTTACGGTGGTTGTTGCGAGGCGGAATTGAAGTAACTGACTCTTTGATTTCTGTATTGCGATGCTACCACAGCTTGGGGATTAGGGATGTGCCGGATGCTCAGATTCGGTTTGATTTTCATTCCAAAACCGGAGATTCTTTGATGAGGTTGCGGTATTCGGAGGGCCACTTTGCTGGCGAGATTAGCTGAACTGAGCACCAAAGAATCAACCGAGTTCTCATCGGTGATGCATCCGCTTAACAGGGAAACAGCCGCATCAGAAAGTGTCATTAAATTGGAATCTTGACCTCGCCGTTGATCCAGATCCTTCGCCTTTCCTCGTAATAAGCTTCCCGGGGTGATGGGCGGTCGTGGTGGTCTTGGATTCAACGAGGATATGGAGCAGATCGAAGAGGATGACGACGATGACGACGACGACGACGACGACGAGGACGAAGAGGAGGAGGAGGAGGAGGAGGACGAAGGAG